GAGATTCTGTGCAAGCTCAGCTTGGAGGGTGAGGTAAGTATGTGATTTCCCACTTGGTGAGATTTTTGCAAATTGGATATCTGCAGAACTCTGTTGCCTTCCTTTCCTGTATGCATAAGGAGAATGGAGACATAATCCACAAATATTTGGTCTCCCAACTTCATCAGTACTTTACCTGTTCCTAGTGGTTCCTAGTAGTTCAATTAGAAAGAGGTGCCATGTCACTAAAACCATTTCTGGCATCACATTAAAATTAAGTAGGCGGGAATTTTATTCCACCCTACTTATGTGTCAATGGTAGTCATTGTTCTAGTGATACATGATATGTTCATGTGAAGCCCCACTGTTGTATTTGGGTTTAGCATAAGCTTTCGCCATATCAAAAATGATTCTGCACCTGTTGGATCTTTTACAGTATCCAGGAAGTTATTCTGCACAAGGATCTATACTTTCTTCCTTTTAATTTAGCTCCTGGGAAAGCTTTTCTCCAAAAAGGCCAAAATGTTTCTTTTTTAAAAAAGAAAGGAGGAAGGACGGAAAGCTGGGCATGGTGGTTGGTAGGCAGAGATCAAGAAGATCACTGTTTAAGGTCAGTCTGGGAAAAAATTTAGTGAGACCCATCTCAATCAATAAACCAAGTGTGCCAGAGCACACCTGTCATCCCAGCTACATGGCAGGCATGAGTAAATTGTCAACCAAGGCTGGCTGAGATAAAAATGCAAGACCCTATTCAAAAAAAAAAAAAGCTAAAGCAAAAAGGACTTGGGGGAATGATTCAAGTGGTAGAGCACCTGCTGAGCAAGAGCAAGGCCCTGAATTCAAATCCTAATACCACCAGCAAAAAAAGGCAAGACTGAAATTATGTATTTCACCATGTTTCATTCTTTGCTTTTTATTGATAGGGGAACTCAAGATTTAAATTTGTCTTTCAAAGACGCACTCAAAAGAGGAGTGACAATAGCACGGGTCACATGATACGAAATCCTCCTTATTGTTTATGGCACTTGCTATCCTAATGTTTAAATGCGCAAGTCTGAGCAAGTCTGCAGTGTATAGAGTCTAGCGTCTGTTATGGGTTTTTTTTTTGTTGTTGTTTGTTATTTAAATCTTTTCTCTTCTTGGAACTTGTGTTGCTGTCATCGATAACAATATAAGCTGGAGGTTAAAACCTAAACAAGCCCAGATGCAATATAATTTGTTTCTTTCGTGGATTTGATCATTAGGTTACTGGTAGTACTAAGTTTCATCAGAAGGCTTTTTAGGTAGCCTTTGAGGTTGTCCTACTCCAGTATGACACATTCCCTATATGGAGAGATAGGACTGAAATAGACCCTTTCACGTTTTTTAAAGAAAGATCACTTTTGGCCCAATAATTTAATTTTCAGACAAGTGGATTTTATAGGCAACAGGTTCAATTGTCCATTTAATTTTACTTCTAGAGATACTATGAAATCACATAAAACCCACTTGCTATTGCTTTGTGGTAAGACCCATGTCACCTGATAAATGGAGCTATAGTATATGTGCCTTTGTAAATGAGTAACTTAGGTGCTGTGAACAAACAGGAAAATAGTTTTTCTTAGATTTTCACACACATTTTATTGTTGCTACTATAGCAGACTCAGTAAGATTTCCAAAAAGCACTTTGCCTTTGCATTTCCCTGAATGTGTGCTCCATGCTCATTGAGTTAATTGTATTGAAATGTTTAAGCAGTGAAATTTGATAACCCACTTGTGTTTCAGAATTGTAAGTATTAACTGGATTTACCATTTGGCCAGAATGGTCCTCTCAGTACGGTTTGAAACAGTTGTCTAATCCTATATTTAGGTCTCTAGCTTGTCCTTGGAGGCATTTGAGAAGGTGTATCTTAGTTGCTCGCCTGTGCAACCTTCCTGCTAAGAAAGTCCGATGGCAGATGTACTGGGCTGGCCTGAGGGTGGAGAGGTTGGTAAGGACACCTCAGTCTGTTGACTTTTGATGGATGGATGGCTCCACAGCTATCAGCCAACAGAAATCACAATGTCCATCCGTCGTCATTGGCTTGGATGGACATCCATCCATTGCCCTTGGCTTTGGGACTGGGTCGCAGGGAGGGGGACACAACCTGAGTATTTCAAAAAAGGAGAGAATTTCAATGCTTTGCAAAGGAGAACGAAGCTACTGTCTTTCCTCAGGCTGAGTGGGGGGAGAGACTCCAGACCCTCAGCTTAGGTTAGGGGATGAGAAAAGGAAGAGGGAAAGTGTCATAGGCAATAAGAAAAATGCTAGGCAGAGCTGTAGGCAGAAGGATAGTGTGGGGGAAGGGAGAAAGCAAACACTGAGAAGAGAGGAAAGAGAGGTATAAGAGCTTTGCAAAGCAAAGAGGACATGGGCTGGTTCGCCAACCATCTTTGTCCTACAGTGGTGGCCAAACTAGAATGGCAGAGGAAGACATTCCTTGCATATGTCAGAGACAGGCAGGCAGGCCCTGTACACTCAGTTTTTGAAGAACTAGGAGCTCTGCCACCCAGACCCAGTGGACATTCCTGTGCCTGTAGCAACAGCTTGGTGAAACACACTTGTCATTCAGGCATTACCACACTTTCAGCTCATTTCAAATTGTTGCTAAACCAGTTTCTTGCTCTTCACAAACTCCCTGAATAAATGCAGGTCCCAGTCCCTAGCTTGCTACTCTCTGCTTTTAAGCTCTTGCTAAAAGATGAAAAGTAGAAATATAGACAGCATATTCTAAACTAGCTGAGGCTTTAAAGAAGAATTCTCATAAGAACAAAAAGCATGTATATATCTATATAATATATATGTTATATATGTATATTATATATGTATATATGTATATATAGAATGTATATATGTATATATAGAATATATATGTATATAATATATATATAATATGTATATATGTATATATATATATACACACACACACACATATATATATATATATATAGGCAGTACTGGGGTTTGAACTTTGGGCCTTGTGCTGGCTAGACAGGTGCTATACTCCTCAAGCCACAACCCCAGCCCTTTTTGCTTTTCCTGGGCCAGTTCTGGACTGAAAACCTCCTACCTCTGACTCCGCCTGAGAAGCTGGGATTGCAGTGTGCTCCTTGCCCAGCTTGTTTTTTGAGATAAGGTCTGACAAACTTTTTGCCCAGGTTGGACTTAAACCATGGTCCTCCTATCCCAGCCTCTCAAGTAGCTAGTATAGGCATGAGCTACTGCACATCATCTGTAAAATGAACTTTCTTCTTTAGAAAAAAACAAAAAACAAAAGCTGGTATGTGATGACACGTGAATACTGACCCTCATTACTTGGAGTAAGAATGATTTGAATTGTTGAAAGAAACAGCAGTAAAAAGTCATTTTGGAATTGCTCTTTCAGCTAGAGGATTTTAAATGTGTTATTTGAGTATGTTTGTTTTAACCTCAGCACTCCACACCCTCAAGTGCCTATGGGTCAGTCAAAGCCTACACCAACTTTGATGCTGAGAGGGATGCTCTGAACATCGAAACAGCCATCAAGACCAAAGGTAGGTGAAGTACCTGTCCTGCTTATCAGGGTCTAACTGAGGCACTTTGAGCTGTCTCTTCATGTTCCTGCAAGCTTCTGTGTGTTGGTCATTTATGCTGTCATCTAGCTTTAGGGAGGAGATCTAGCCATAGCCCAGCTCATACCTCCCCCTTCCCTCCTTTCTCTCTTTTTCTTCCCTCCTCCTTCCCTCCTCTCTTAGCATGAGATGGTTTTTAACCAAGGACTGCAAACCAGAGTCCATCCCTGACTTTGTGTTTAGGGCTTGGTTTTAACTGTGAGGCCCCAGTCTCTTTTTCCTAAGTCAGGAGCTAGTCCTGGACCCCCACAGGTCTTTCTTCTTTTGAATCCTCTTGCATCTCATTACCCTGACTGGGACCCTGCAGGGCAGTTTCTATGTTTTGCACTGAGGTTATGGCATGACCCAGACTTCCTTTTTACCCTGTGAATGATGCTTACCCTTGGGCCTGCAGCTTCAGGTAGAAGGATTGTCTGACCAAGAGGATGAGTCGGAGGGGACCAGTACCCATGAAAACCACCCTTTCAAAGCACACCAATAAAGCCTTTAATTGACTTGAGAGGAGCAAGACCTTGTTGGGGCCATCTGTTGTTATCTGGGTCTACAAAGTGGATGAAGAGACTTTTTGGCCTTTGCGGGTACCACATTCTTTGTATCCCTGGAGGCACTGCCATTATTGTGGTGATTTTTACTATTTTCCCCTTCCTCCCCTTTGGACTTCCTTTCACCATTTGACTAGATTGGGATGTGGACGAGACCCTGCAGTTGGAGTGACAGTTGTTCTTACCTCTGTCAAAGAGCCATAGCTCATTTTTCTCTTCTAAATTGAGAGTTGAAGTTCCTGACCCACTTGTGCATTTCACTGAGAAACCCGAGCCAGGAAGACCCAGGAACCTAGAACCCAGGTGATCCCCACGTCAGTTTATGTCTGAATATCTGAATATTTATTACCATTACCATTTGTTATCAGAACTGCCTTATTCTGGAGGATAAAGGACAGGGTCACCATTCCTAAAACTTAACTTGTTTCCAGACACAGGAAGGAGAGTAGAAAGATCCAGTTATGTCCTGTGGTTCTAACAAGACATGGGGTGTACACCATCTGCTTATAAGCGGCCTTCTATCTCTCCCCTGCAGGGACACTGTGAGCCAGCACTGGTATGGCTGCCAGGTGGGAGAGTAGTAGCAAAGCATCCTAGTTAGACCTTTAAGAAGTCTTTTTTTGATGCTTTTAGTGATCGTTCTTATCAAAAGTTACTCATCAGAAAATTAAGTGAAAATCTGCAGGGCTTATCTGAGTCCAGTTGGTTCTAGTTAGTGGGGTATAGTGGATCCCAGGTTCTAATCCTGATGCTGTCCTTCACTGACCATCTGACTCTGAGAAAACATTGACTTTTTGCTAAACTCAGATTCTTATCTATGGAGTGGGATTAACACCTCATAGGACTGTTAGAAAGTATGAAGCACTTAGCATAGCGTCTGGCATATACACAATTCTCCAAGTGTGTTACCTTAAGAGAGCCAGGCATGTTGGCTCATGCCTGTAATTCCAGTAAGTTGGGAGGCAGAGATGGAGAGGTTTGTGGTTTGAGGGCAGTCTGGGCAAAAAGTTAGCAAGACCCTATCTTAACAAACAAGCTGTCATCTCAGCTGTGTGGGTCAGCATAGGTAGGATGTTACTGGTCTAGGCTGGCCTGGGCAAAAGCATGGCTATTCAAATAATAACTAAAGCAAAATGGGCAGGGAGTATGCTCAAGTGGTAGAGTGCCTGCCCAGCAAGTGCAAGGCTCTAAATTTAAGCCCCAGTACCACCAAGAAAACTAAATAAAACCAAAACCACGTAGACATACATGCATACACACATATGATCTGCTTTCCTGAAACTCATCCTCTCTCCATGGGTGTGCCGACGTTCTTATGGGCTCCCAATGTGCCATTGCAGAAACACCCTCCAAAGTTCAACAGTTTAACTCGTTTGACAAAGATGGGGCCATTTATAAGCCTGGAACAAAGGGTGATTTTATCCCTGCATGGGAAAGCCTTTAGCCCACTGGAATGTAAAAATTGCGCAAATGAACTCTGACCACAGCTGAAACACTCATGTTCATAAAAATACCTTCAGGCTCTTTCTGAGTTAGTACCGCAAGGCTGTAGTTCCCAGGCAGACACACATTCCAGTTTGGCCAGAAGCAGCTGACCTCATCATCATCCTCCTGACTACTTACTGAGTTCTCATTGTGGGCGGAAAGTGCACAGGGCACTTCAGGAGCTCTTAGCTTAGATGAGCTCCAAGTTCATCTCTAATGGAATGTTCTATCATTCCCAGTTTGTGGGGAGCACAATGAAGAGCATGCTCCAAGTCTCACACTGGGATTTGCCTAGCCCCAGGCACGTGTTCTTAAGGCACTATCACACAGCACCCAGCTGTTAGGAAGGGATTTTTTTCAGGCATGAAAAGGTCTGATCATGGTGTTATCTTATATGGTTCACACTTGTGGCTCAGCAGTTGCTGAGTTCCCTGTCTCTTTTTCACCCCAGACTTAACTTTTAATGAATTTCACTTAGGACCACTTTTTATTTATTTAGTTATTTTTGGTAGTTAGTGATTTTTTTGTGTTCTGTCTGTTGGTCCTTTAGGGTAATTTCTATATTGTCAGTATGTTTTTAAACTTTAAATCCTAGGAAACTGTTGGGAAGAAAGACTATAATATTCATAAGAGCTCAGTGTACTGTTCCATGTGAATGTTAGCTTTGGCTACAATAGTGAAAACTCAGATGCATCTTTTAGGCAAGGAATGATTATTGTAATTAGTTGAAACATAGACTGTCTGAAAAATGTCATATAGACACAAGAAACTAAGTTTATGAACAATTTTTGAAATCTTTATTGAGATTGAATTCCTATGCTATACAATTCACCTACTTCAAGCATACATTTGAATATTTTTAGTGTATTTACACAGTTGTGCAACCATCACCACAGTCAATTCCATACACTCATTTTAATATTCTTAAATTTGTCAGTTCTATAGAAAAATGGATATAAAATGGTGTATGCTATATTATAAGATGATAGCCACACAATTTTTAATCAAAGAGGACAAAATAAAAGTCACTAGTAACTGACTTATGGAACTATGGATAATTCAGCCTTTTGTTCTGCTTTTAGTATATTCTGTATTTGTTTTCTCTGATGACAAGTACTTTCATAGTGGAAGGCAGGAAAGTTAACTAAAAATTTAAAAAATGAGGTCATTAGTTAGGAAAGACAACACCCCCTTTATTCCTTTTTCCTTTCCCTTGATTTTCTTTTTAGATAACTAAGACCAATTAGATAAGGAGCTGATTGTGATCTTGGGTATATTTAAGAGGCTTCTGCCACACCTTAACTCCCTCCCACCTCAAACTCTTTATCAGGAGTTGGTGCTTCCATGACATCAAAGGAAACAAAGTGTAAACCTCAAAGGTTGATAGGAACACAAGACCCAAAGATGACTACTTACCCCTCTCCTCTTCTAGAGAAGATGGTGGGGTGTGTGCCTCCTGCAGAGTGAGTCCTCTGATGTCTTGTTGCCTCTCCTATCATCTGTGTGCTCTCCAAAGGGGAGGGAAGCTGGCTGGCCCACTGGGGTGGATTAGTCAATCCCTTGCTATTAGACAAAGACTGGGAACAGGAGCAGGCCTGTAGTGGGGACAACTGTAGGAGGGTCACAGTGTGCAGAGATCTGTGAGCTGGCATAGTCTATACTGCACCGGTCAGAAGGTCCCCAGGCAGCTCTTACCTGTCCCTTCCTCCAACTCATGTCAGGGCTCACCTGTGGGCCTCCCTGCCATACCCATTACAGATTCTCTTTCTAGCTCTTATCTCCCACTCTATCCATTGCCTCCAAGTAGACAGTGCCTCTGCCTTTGCTCCTACAGGAGGGTGCAGCCACCTTTGTTGTTCCCCCCCCCCAACCCCTACACATTTCCACTCACCTCCCAGTCAAGCTTTCTCTGGGGACATAGGCAGAGTCAGTTCTAATTCTATTCAACACCCTTGATTGCAGCTCTTGTTACACACTTATCATTTACCTCTGGATTTGTTGCTCCTTAGGGACAAGGACTTTTATTTCATTACCCTCTTTTTTGAGGGGCTGAACTCAGGGCCTACACCTTGAGCCACTCTGATGGCCCGTTTCAAAATAGGGTCTCGCAAACCATTTGCCCAGGCTGGCTTCGAACCGTGATCCTCCTGATCACTGTCCCCTGAGTAGCTAGGATTACAGGTGTGAGCCACTGGTGCCCGGCCATTACCCTTTTTTTAATGCCCAGGCCCATGGGAGTGTGTGAGAAGATAAAAATTTACCCAAAATAGTAGTTAAACCAAAACACAGATAGCCAAGCACTCAGGTGAGCACAGGTGAGCGGGGGACATGAGGCAACAAAAGATCATTCCAGAAAGAAGACTAGTCCCTAGTCAGCTTTGGTCCGATGTCACTAACTGAATTTAGCTCACTTTCCTGAGTATGTTTGTGTCTAGTTGGAAGAGATCTCAGTACATGTTGAGTGTCTTACCTAAACCACATGCATGATTGCTTTGTGTATCCTCTGGCTGGAGGTAGACTATGCAATTACTGTATGTTAATTTATGTCTAGTTAAAAACTGAGCTAAGCCATGTAAAAGTAGTAATATTGTTTAATTAACAAGAGGTTTCTGAGACTTAATCTGTAGGAGTCTCTTGGTCTACATTGGCCTTGGGTTAAATATATACTGTGGAGTGTACAACACAGCTGTGAATGGTTTACCATATGGGCCCAAATAACTAGAAAGGAAAGTCAGCTAAATTAGAAAAGGATGAATCTAGCCTATATAAAATAGATTGTAATTAGCGGCAGCACAACCCTACAGTTAGCGTGAGTGCCAATAAACTGGAGCAGCTTTGGTCTCTCTGGAAGGGGAGGGCAATGGGTCGCTCTATTATTGCCAGTTTTGATTTTAG